CCAACTGACCACTGACCATCACACTGACCGTCACACTGACCACTGACCACACTGACCCAGAGACACAACTGCCGGAGACACAACGTCCCCAAGGACACCATCGAGGGGGCACTCAGGGTGAGTGACCACTGAGTGACCACTGAGTGACCACTGACCACTGAGTGACCGCTGAGTGACCACTGACCCATCCTGAGTGACCACTGACCCATCCTGAGTGACCACTGACCACTGACACTGACCACTGAGTGACCACTGACCAGTGACACTGACACTGACACTGACCAGTGACACTGACCAGTGACCAGTGAGTGACTACAGGTCCGGCTTCGGCCGGGCGGATGGGGAGTATTGGCTGGGTATGGACACTGACCACTGACCAACTGACCACTGAGTGACCACTGAGTGACCACTGAGTGACCACTGAGTGACCACTGACCCATCCTGAGTGACCACTGACCCACCCTGAGTGACCACTGACACTGACACTGACCAGTGAGCGACTACAGGTCCGGCTTCGGCCGGGCGGACGGGGAGTACTGGCTGGGTATGGACACTGAGTGACCACTGAGTGACCACTGAGTGACCACTGAGTGACCACTGACCACTGAGTGACCACTGACACTGACACTGACCACTGACCCATCCTGAGTGACCACTGACACTGACCAGTGACCAACCCTGAGTGACCAGTGAGTGACTACAGGTCCGGCTTCGGCCGGGCGGACGGGGAGTACTGGCTGGGTACGGACACTGAGTGACCACTGAGTGACCACTGAGTGACCACTGAGCAACTGACCACTGACACTGACCAGTGACACTGACCACTGAGTGACCCCTGAGTGACCACTGAGTGACCCTGAGTGACCCTGAGTGACTCCTGAGTGACCACTGACTGAGTGACCACTGCGTGACCACTGACCCATCCTGAGTGACCACTGACACTGACACTGACCACTGACACTGACCAGTGACCAACCCTGAGTGACCATTGAGTGACCACTGAGTGACAACTGACCACTGACCTGCCCTGAGTGACCCCTGAGTGACCTTTGACCCCTGAGTGACCCTGAGTGACCCTGAGTGACCCTGAGTGACCTCTGAGTGACCTCTGACCTCTCTGTGACCTTTGACCTTTGACCTTTGACCCCCGGCCTGCAGTCCCTGGCCCTGCTGACCCTGAGTGACCCCTGAGTGACCTCTGACCTCTCTGTGACCTTTGACCTTTGACCTTTGACCCCAGGCCTGCAGTCCCTGGCCCTGCTGACCCTGAGTGACCCCTGAGTGACCTTTGACCCCTGTGTGACCCCAGGCCTGCAGTCCCTGGCCCTGCTGACCCTCCAGGCCCGTTACGAGCTGCGGGTGGAGCTCGAGGACTTCGAGAACAACTCGGCCGCGGCCACCTACGGCTCCTTCGCGCTGTCCCCCACCGCGGTCAGCGCCGAGGAGGACGGCTACGCCCTGCACGTGGCCGGATTCGTGGACGGAGGAGCCGGTGAGTGACCAGTGGTCATCGGTGGTCAGTGGTGGTCATTGGTGGTCATTGGAGACCATTGGTGGTCATTGGTGGTCATTGGTGGGCATTGGTGGCCATTGGTGGTCATTGGAGATCATCGGTGGTCATTGGTGGTCAGTGGTGGTCATCTGTGGTCATCAGTGGTCATTGGAGATCATTGGTGGCCATTGGTGATCATTGGAGATCATTGGTGGCCATTGGTGGTCATTTGAGATCATTGGTGGCCATTGGTGGTCATTGGTGGTCATTGGTGGTCATCAGTGGTCATCGGTGGTCATTGGAGATCATTGGTGGCCATTGGTGGTCATCAGTGGTCATCGGTGGTCATTGGAGATCATTGGTGGACATTGGTGGTCATCAGTGGTCAGTGGTGGTCAGTGGTGGTCAGTGAAGGTCAATGGAAGTCAATGGAGATCATCAGTGGTCATTGGTGGTCAATGGAGGTCAATGGTGGTCAGTGGTCAGTGGGGGAGGGGGTCAGGAGGACGGCTACGCCCTGCACGTGGCCGGATTCGTGGACGGAGGAGCCGGTGAGTGGCCAGTGGTCATCAGTGGTCATCGGTGGTCATTGGTGGTCATTGGAGATCATTGGTGGTCATTGGTGGTCAGTGGTGGTCATTGGTGGTCATTGGTGGCCATTGGAGATCATTGGAGATCATTGGTGGCCATTGGTGGTCATTTGAGATCATTGGTGGCCATTGGTGGTCATTGGTGGTCATTGGTGGTCAGTGGTGGTCATTGGAGATCATTGGTGGCCACTGGTGGTCATTGGAGATCATCGGTGGTCATCAGTGGTCATTGGAGATCATTGGTGGCCATTGGAGATCATTGGTGGCCGTTGGTGGTCATTGGTGGTCATTGGTGGTCATCAGTGGTCATCGGTGGTCATTGGAGATCATTGGTAGACATTGGTGGTCATCAGTGGTCAGTGGTGGTCAGTGGTGGTCAGTGAAGGTCAATGGAAGTCAATGGAGATCATCAGTGGTCATTGGTGGTCAATGGAGGTCAATGGTGGTCAGTGGTCAGTGGGGGAGGGGGTCAGGAGGACGGCTACGCCCTGCACGTGGCCGGATTCGTGGACGGAGGAGCCGGTGAGTGGCCAGTGGTCATCGGTGGTCAGTGGTGGTCATTGGTGGTCATTGGAGACCATTGCTGGTCATTGGTGGGCATTGGTGGCCATTGGTGGTCATTGGTGGGCATTGGTGGCCATTGGTGGTCATTGGAGATCATTGGTGGCCATCGGTGGTCATCGGTGGTCATTGGTGGTCATTGGAGATCATTGGTGGCCATTGGTGGTCATCAGTGGTCAGTGGCGGTCATTGGAGATCATTGGTGGCCATTGGTGGTCATTGGTGGTCATTGGTGGTCATCAGTGGTCATCGGTGGCCATTGGAGATCATTGGTGGCCATTGGTGGTCATCAGAGGTCATCGCTGGTCATTGGAGATCATTGGCGGTCATCAGTGGTCATCAGTGGTCAGTGGTGGTCAGTGGTGGTCAGTGAAGGTCAATGGAAGTCAATGGAGATCATCAGTGGTCATTGGTGGTCAATGGAGGTCAATGGTGGTCAGTGGAAGTCAATGGAGATCATCAGTGGTCATTGGTGGTCAATGGAGGTCAGTAGAAGTCAATGGAGGTCAGTGGTGGTCAGTGGTGGTCAGTGGTCAGTGGGGGAGGGGGTCAGGAGGACGGCTACGCCCTGCACGTGGCCGGATTCGTGGACGGAGGAGCCAGTGAGTGGCCAGTGGTCATCGGTGGTCATCGGTGGTCATTGGAGATCATTGGTGGTCAGTGGTGGTCATTGGTGGGCATTGGTGGTCATCGGTGGTCATTGGAGATCATTTGTGGTCATTGGAGATCATTGGTGGCCATTGGAGGTTGGTGGTGATCATTGGTGGTCATTGTTGGTCATTTGAGATCATCGGTGGTCATTGGTGGTCATTGGAGATCATTGGTGGTCAATGGTGGTCAATGGTGGTCAATGGAGATCAATGGAGGTCAGTGATGGTCAATGGAGGCCAGTGGAGGTCAGTGGAGGTCAATGGATGTTAATGGAGGTCAATGGAGGTCAATGGAGGTCAATGGAGGCCAGTGGAGGTCAATGGAGGTCAATGGAGGTCAATGGAGGTTGGTGGTGGCCATTGGAGATCATTGGTGGTCAATGGAGGTCAGTGATGGTCAATGGAGGTCAATGGTGGTCAATGGAGGTCAGTGGAGGTCAGTGGAGATCAATGGAGGTCAATGGACGTCAGTGGAGGTCAATGGTGGTCAATGGAGGTCGGTGGTGGTCATTGGTGGTCAATGGAAGTCAATGGAGGCCAGTGGAGGTCAATGGAGGTCAATGGAGGTCAATGGAGGTCAGTGATGGTCAATGGAGGCCAGTGGAGGTCAATGGAGGTCAGTGATGGTCAGTGATGGTCAGTGATGGTCAATGGAAGTCAATGGTGGTCAATGGAGGTCAGTGATGGTCAATGGAGGTCAGTGGTGGTCGGTGGTGGCCGGTTGAGGTCGGTGGTGGCCGGTGGAGGTCAGTGGTGGTCGGTGGTGGCCAATGAAGGTCAGTGGTGGTCGGTGGTGGCCAGTTGAGGTCAGTGGTGGCCGCTGACCAATGCCGGTCAGTGTTTATCAACGGTGACCAACCAACCCAAACCCACCCCGAGAAGATCCACGAAGCCACCACCACCACCCACCATCCACCCCCCACCCTCAGGCGACTCCCTGAGCTACCACAACGGCCAGAAGTTCTCCACCTTCGACCGCGACCAGGACCTCTTCGCCCAGAACTGCGCCGCCCTCTCCTCGGGGGCCTGGTGGTTCCGCAGCTGCCACTTCTCCAACCTCAACGGCTTCTACCTGGCCGGGCCTCACCTGTCCTACGCCAACGGCATCAACTGGGCCCAGTGGAAAGGTTTCTACTACTCCCTCAAGCGCAGCGAGATG